GGCAGGTGTCATTAGCAGTATTCTCTGGATGAGCTGAATCTCGATGACCTAACCTGGTCCTGCTCCAAGTCCCAGGTGACCTTGGTTGACGGCACTTGCTGCCTAGAAACCCACACCACTGGACCTTTACAACACCTCCACCTCCTGTTCCATGACTCTCAAGTACAATCAAATGATAAGAATCAAAACCACCAGTATGAGCATTTTACAGGCAGGATCTCTGCCATGTGCTGCTTCTGTGAGCCAGCAACCCAGAAGGATAAAGCGTAGCAAGAGGCTCCTTCAAATAAAAGTCATTTTGTAGAAGATGAACCTGAAGAGAGCTCAGTGCAGTGGGAATGCGAGATGGATCTACGAGGCTGAGATCAGAGGCTATGGGGAGAGGGTAGACGGAAGCCCAGAAGCCCAAAAAGGAGCCAATGGAGGATAAATAAGGAGTTTAAATGCTGCAGAGGCTGAAACATCTTTAGAAGCCATCAGGTTCTGAAAGGACGGTGTTCCCATTTCCAAGGACCCTGCCTGAGATGTTAAGCTCCACTCTGAGGCAGCCGAAGCAGTTGGGGTGGGGCAGGGCAGTTGTGCTGCTCAGTTGCTAAGCATGTCCACTGTGTGTGACTGTGGACAGGAGCCCCACTTGGCAGGGGTGCCCCTGGGAAAACCACTTGGAAGAGGTAAACTGGTACTGGCACTTGTCCAAGAAAGGTCTGGCTGATTGGCACTTGTAGGAAACTAGCATGAACGAGGTCTGAAAAATGGCAGAGAAGGAGCCCAGGGCTTTGCTTTTAGCTCTGCAGATTGTTCAGGAGGTGGCAGGGCAGGGTGTGGCACGTGGCAGGAGGAAAGCAGCCCTAAGGGAGTGCACCTGTTGGGTGTGCACTGGGTCTTCTGGGCAAAGGCTGCAGCTGCAGCCCTCCCTGCTGTGTTCACAATGGGATCTCTTGTCCTGACTTTGACCCTTGACCGCAGGTCCTTCATGAAGGAATCCCGAATGTTTTAACACATTTGGCCCTGTGCTAGGAATACTACACAATCTGACTGTATGGAGCTCCCAGTGTGGTGTGCAATACACACTCAGTTAGTATAGCGCTTAGGGCTACAGCTCAGATCTCAGCAGCTCCTCAAGCATCACGTGGTTAGGCCATGGTTCCCAGCTCCTGAGCTACTGAGTGTGGTGAACCATTTGGGAGGTGGGCCATAGTGGAAGAGCCTGGGTTACTGGGAACATGCCCCTGAAGGGATACTGGGGCCACCTGCCGGGGATTCGGAAAGGGCCAGTGCGGAGTTAATTCAAGGTCTGCTGCTCATAAGCTAAGTCACTCTGGGCAAGCCATCCTGCTCTGACTCCCTCCTCTGTAGAACAACAGGTACTGCAGTTGCAGCCTCTCTTTAGTCATCATCATGGCCGCAAACCCCACTGTCACTGTCCTCATCATGTTCCCAAATGATTTAGGAAGTGACATCCCACTAGGTCCCAAGCTGGGAACTGAGGTGTGTTGGCAGCAAAGAGACAAAGAACCTGTGCTCGTATGGGCCCCAGGAATGTGTTCCCTTGTCTTGGGTGGCTTGTCAGGAAAGAGGATGGATGGAGCTGCCTTTGAGGAACTGCCTTTCAGGAGCTGCTGAGACAAGACTGGAAGCCAAGCAAACACTTGCACAGAGCCTGGCTTCACGGCTTCTGCGCACCTCACCAAAGTACGGAGGGGCCTGTCAGCTCACACTTCAGTCCTGCACTGGCTGCTGAGTGCAGGGCATATTGATTTAAGCTGCCTTCATTAAACGCTGCGCTGGGTGCTGAACATGAAGACACACACCTCAGGGAGGAGACAGTCCTGCTTCCTAGGAGGCGGCAGATGTCAGCCCATCCCTGCTGACCTGCCAGCCCACTGTCAGGGCTGACAGTGCAACAACTGCTCAGGGTGCGTCTGCTGGCTGCAGCCCTCATGTGCCAGGCAGCAGAGAGTACGCCAACGTGGTCAGAGCTCCGTCTCGTCCAGGGGCTCAGCTGTACAGACACGGGGATAACCACATCACCCACTTTTTCTAACCTACTCCTCACGACAGTAAGAAGCCTCACCTAGAGGGTGCCTGAGGGCTGGATAGGCAGAGCTACTCACGTGGTGGAGGCAGGCCTTCCTGAACAGCCCCTGCAGCCTGCACGCTCCCCACCTCTCAGAATACACACATAGATAGTCCAGACGATGCGGCCATGCTTGGCTTCATGGGAAAAACTCAGTCCTTCCAAAACAGCTTCTACTCAAAAAAAGTGCCCTCAGGGGGAGGGGGAGGCAGAAAGGTATGAAACATTTATTCTGCGACAGACATCGTTCTGTCACTGTTCTGTGACAGACATGCTACAAAAATGACATCATTTAACAATCATAAAACCTGCTGAGAGAAGCACTATTACCTCCATCCCTCAGATAAGGAAACTGATGTCAAGGAAAGTTAGGTTTCCTGCCACTATCACACAGACAGCATGCAGCAGAGGAGGGCTGAAGCCAGGCAGGTACTGCCTGCACAGACAGGATGAGAGAGAGAACACGGGACACTTTCATTTTCTGACTGGCGGCCTGCAGAGGGGGAGTGACAGGTAGGGAGAAACAGTGTCTTAGGGGGAGGCAGTGCAGGGTGGCCGGAAGCAGGGCAGACAGCGCTGCGCTGGGGCCCGGACCCACTTCCTCACCCATCAGCGCGACTCAGGCCCCACTACCCAGATGCTGTACCACGAAACCTGCCTTCCTTGCCTCTCATGGCCGTGGCTGCGGAAGTGTGTCCCTGTGAACACAGCTCTTGCTATGAGACCTCAACAAACACAGTTTGCTATTGCTGTTGGCATGGTCTCACACTCCAGCTTTGTGGCAGTCGCGGCACCATTGAGGACCACCATCCATGCTCCCGGGAGGGCGCCTCACCTTGCCTCTTACCGCCTTGCCTCTTAGTCTCTGTTAATATGAAGCACTTTCACCAGGTGCTGTTTTAATCAACATCATAAGAGCTCAGACCATGGGCCAAATAGCAGGTGCTCTTGTCCAGTCAGGAACAATTCCTACAATAGTCCCAGAAGGCAGGCGCTGCTGCTGTCTGTCTTGTCTGTCTGTCTGTCTGTCTGTCTGTCTGTCTGTCTGTCTCCTCTCTCCCTTTCCCCACCTCTCTCTGGCAGAGGTGGACAAATTAACTTGTCTAACATTGCAGTTAGCACAGAGCGGGGCAGATTTTGAACCAGGGTCTGTCTGAGCCAGGGCTTATCCCACACAGGATTCTCATGCTTCCTACGCACATTCCTATCCATTTTTTTTTTTTTTTAATATCAGTTATGGGAGTGGTGATGCAGGCCAGAACAGGATGAGATCAGCAAACTTATTCAAAGACCCTTCCAAAGATGCTGCATCTCTTTTTTATAGGACATCCTAGAGAATACTTAGAAATCCCACACGAAGTTATGCTGCCCTCCTCCAGGCTGTGGAATTTCAGCAGGGATTAACAGTGCAAGGCACAGTTGCAGACCTGTCATAAATTAGCTTTGTGGCCACATAATGAACAATGCAAGCCAGTGCAGCTTTAAGAGGACCATTCATTATATTGTTATAAACAGAGCCATAGAAAAGAGTGATTCCTGAGATGCTGCACACCTGTGCTCACAATCATGTCTTTACACGGCTTTGTAAACCAGGATAAAAGTCCAATTTAGACTGCGCAGGGAACGTCAGCTCTCCATTGGATGGGGACAGGTAGCGCATAGTGCTCCAATCGCAGGAATGCCTCACGGGTTTCGTTGTTTTGCCAAAGACTGCCACCATCTTTCCTGACTACAACCAGAAGTGCTAACAGACTAACTACATCATGAGCTAATTTGGGTTTCACTTTCTTGTAACAACATGGGACGGCGAGGACAATGATTCAGAGTAAAAAAGTAGAGCTGGTGATTCCATCATTTTCTAGCTATGGACTCATTACAATTCTTTCAGCCTAAGTCTCTTTACTATTTATTCATTTTCATTTTTCCTGTTTGTGGTCTCCCCTCTCCCTTTTCTGGAAATCAAGGCATCCAAGGCAGGGTTTTCTGCTCTTGCTGGGAAGTCTGCCATGGCTTGCAGGCGCTTGCTGAGCCTGCATGAGCTGATGTGCTATACACATTGGTGAACCAGGAGTGGCAAGAATTCCTTTCTCCGGGGGCTTGTGCAGATTCAAGGAGATTAAATGTGAACATAAACTACTACATGCCAATGCCGACTGGTGGTTCATACACGTCCTTGTTTAACCCTCAAGAGGGTTTATGAATCGTCACATGACTACACATAGGACACCAGCAGCAGCAACCAACCTTTGAACTTGGTACATACAGGTCCTTCGGGGAATCAGCAGATCAAAACACATTTAATCATGTGTTCCATTCATCCATTAATATTTACAAAGCAGCTGCAGTGGGCCAGGCCCATGCTATGCCCGGAGCCTGTGCTGTGTGTGTACATGATTGCGACCTCCATGGAGCCCACAATCTGTAAGAGCATCTCCCAGAGGGGCACGTGGGGCTAGATCCCAGAGAACTCTAAAACCAACGCTGAGCTTAGACTTTATCCTCAAAATGGATGGAATCAAAGAGTGCAGTCCCTGGGATAAGAACCTGCTTCTGCGCCTCACCCCTGCAGTTCTTAGCCAGGGGCTCTGTTTGCTGCCCTGCCACCAGGGAGAGCCATTCCATTGTGACAGTGCTCAGTAAAGCACATCTATACTTACAGGTGCCACTATTACTGGTGACGAGGTGCACTGTTGTGAATATAGGCCACCAGTGTGTGAGGAATAAAATGAAAAGGTAATTTTTGAGTTCTCTGCCCATCCAAGAAGAAAGGCATAGAGGACTAGGATCCAGGGAAGAAGAAAAGTTCTTGGAGATGTGAGGGGTCTGTTGCTAGGTGCTGGGGCAGGCTTGTGCCCCTGACCAGGACCTGAGGAGAAGCCTCCATTCCCTCCCACACGCAATGCCCCCCTTTCCCTTTATTTACCAATAGAACAGTCGTGTCCGGTCCAGCTTGGGTCACAGCTGCAAAGCCCGGTGTCCGCGAGAAAGGTTCCATGGCCTGAGCACTGGTCCAAGCACGTGGCCCGGGGTGACTCACAGTTGGTGCCTCCCCATCCTACGGAGCAGTGGCACTCGCCTCTCACACACACACCCCGGCCTGAACATGTGGGGTCCATGCAGTCCACTGTAACAAGAGGAAGAGAAATAGGTTAGCATCTGGCCAGCAGTACCGGCTACTGCAAGACGAGGCACTGGGGGAAAGATGCTGCTGCCAGCGGAGAGGCGGCTCCTGTGCTGACGAGCAGGCCCAGGCCACAACTCTGCTGACGACTGGCTGTTTGCCTCTCGGAGGCTGTCTCCTCATGTGTGAGATGTACCGAGAAATCCTGACCTCTTGGCTCCTGAGGTGGACAGAGTACTAACGTGAACCCAGCACCGGCACAGCACCTAGAGCCTGCGCTCCACAAGAGGACAGTAAGAGAGGACAGGGCTTGGTGTGTGCACTTCTGTCCCCTGGCCCCTGGAACAGCATCCAATACATAAGAAGTGCTCAATATCATCACAGAACAAGTTTTTGTTGTTTGTTACTTAATAATGTAGTTTTATTTGTATGAGGAGACTAAAATAGATTCCTTAATTTAAACAATTATTTCCCTCACAATTACATTCCACTAGGTTTCATCATCTCCAAATTTTTGTGATTGTTATGAACTCTATCACTTTTGTGTGGGCAGATACTTCATCAACTCTTCAGCCGTACACATCCTGACTTTGCGTGGCTTCTCCTCACGTGAGGGAGCTAAGGGGCTGTGGCTCACAGCCAGGCAGCCAAGGGAACGGTCTTTAAGAACCTGACTACGGCCGGGTATGGTGGCGCGTGCCTGTAATCCCAGCACTCGGGAGGCAGGGGAAGGAGGGTCGGTGCAAGTTTGAGACCAGCCTGGGCTACAAAGTGAGCTGAGAGCCAGCCTGAACAGTATAGCAAGACCCTGTCCCAAAAAGAAAGCAAAGAATCTGACTACTCCAAGCACCTCCTATAAGTGCAAACATGCCATGTTTGCCTTTCTGTGAGTGACTTACTGTAACTAGCAGAACACTCTTAAGGTTCCCCATTGTCATGGCGTGCACTGGAACTGCCTACTTTTAAAGGCCAAGTAGTGTTTCACCGTCTGTATACACCACATTTTGTCCTGTGGGCTGTCACGTGGCCATGCAGGTTGCTTCCCTCTTTTGGTAACTGTGAATAATGCTGCCATGAACACGGGCGTACAAATGCTGCTCAAGATCCTGGCTCCAATCTACATGACCACATGCCCGGAAGATTTCCTGGGCCACATGGCCATTCTATTTTTAATTCTCCGAGAAAATAATACAGTGCTTTTCAAAGCAGCTCCACTATTTTCCTTTCTACTAATAGTGTGTGAAAGTTCCAATCATCCACGTCCAGAGAGGAATTTCAACATAAATCTGTCTGATTCTGAAGGCTGTGATGTTTCTATCAGGGCTGAGTTTCTCAAGTCAAAGCTTTAGTTATGGGGCTCACAAAATTAACAAAGACAGTTAACCTTCCACAAAGCACTGAGTCATGGGTATAAAAGACTACTGAGAATTAATGTGTTAATTAACTTGCAGTTCACAGGCAAAGTGTGACTGATAGCAGAGAGAAGACAGAGTTGGCAACAGAGGCTGATTCCTGCTCTCACTCGCCTCTACCACAAAGTTTTCATCCTATGAAGGAAGGGGATTCCATTCACTTTGTACTTGGGAGAGGCCACAGTGTCATGTGGGGCCCACCACCCAGCTGTTGGAAAAGTGGTGCTGACGACACTCAGCGAGGGTCTACCCCACAGGAGCTCCTGCAAAAGCCCTTTGCTGCAGAGGGAAGAACTTGGACCTCGGCCCTGAAGGCTTGGACTCTGGGGTTAGGGTGCAGAGGGTGCTCGGTCTAGGCCCAGGGTCAGTTTATGTGCCTGCTCTTAGCTTCCTAGCTGTAAGACAGGAGTGTAAAACCCCATCCCTCAGGCTGCCATAAGCACAAATGGCACTGAGGATACGAAAGGACTTGGTAAACTGAGAAGAGTTGCAAAGAGGTTACTTTTCTACCTGTAGGGTAGCATGACTTGGCAAGCCTGTCAGCTGAACTCAGAACTTTGTAACTCAGACATTGCTTTTATTTATTAATTATATTTTACAACCGAGTATATTTGACTTTGGCACTAAAGTCTGAGAAGCCTGGCCTGGGTATATAATGGTCATGGACACAAATAGGCTGAGACTGCAGGAACGGCAACATTTTGGGGATGTTTAACTTGAGGAGCAGTTTACTAAGGGACTTCTCTGAATCTTCAGGTTTTCAAAGGAGCTCAGCTTAACCTAAGTGATAAATAAGATAAGGGATCAGGTTAGAAGCAAATATATGGTAAAAGCAGTAATAATCCCAATAGTTGGCATTAACTAGATCACTCCCTGTGCTACATTTTGCCATTAACCCTTTTACATGCACTATCTCATTTAGTACGAGCACCACTATAGGTGAGGCAGCTGCCATTACCACCCCAGTTGAGGAGAAGGAAGCGCAGCGAGACCAAGGGACTCACTTATGACAGCACGGTAACACCGAGGAGAAATTCACTCCTGCGTTACTCTTTCTTGTTCTACACCTCTTGCTGTTATCTCTTATAATCTTACTGACTCAAAGCTATATGCATGAGGGCCAGGAATACAGCTCAGTGGCATAAGCACCTGCCTGGCAAGTGCTAGGTCCTGAGTTTGATCCCTGGTACCGAAAACAAAAACAAAAGCGAAAAACAAAGCTACATGCATGAGCATATAGCTTCAAAAACACATGGCTGCCCTACAAACAGAAATCTAAACAAAGCATAGGATGAATTGTGGCCATGTGGAAGATCACTAAGGCCGAAGGAAGGCACAGACTCTCCTCTGCAGCCTCTGGTCACCATTAAGCAATGGCCTAAGCAGGGTCTGGTGGGATTCCTGGTAATTAACATAATAACAATGACCATAGTGACAAATGTGCACGGCCTACCTCAGATCTCAGGCCCTCAGGATTAAGGCGGCTCTTTAGGCTACCAGACAATTCCCTGAGTCCAGAGGGCTGTCCAATCTCACAGGAAAGAACTCAGCACTCCCACCCTGGGGCCTGCAAAGGTGTTTGCAGTTCAGCGAGGGGCCTGGATTCCAGCTTGGAGCTGTAGTGGTCTCTGAGAAGCCCAAGGCACCCTTAAGGTCAAACCTATAAATCTGCACCCAAGAGGCAGGCTGTAGGGCTCCCAGATCAGCAAAAGGCCGTGTGTCGCGGTCCTGTCTGTGATCCCTGTGGCAGACAACCCAGGCTCAGAGCAACGATCAGGAGGCTCTGGAGTGAGCTGGGCCGGCCTCCAAATGTTTCATCTTCCCTGTGCAGGCAAAGTGCATGTGGAGTGGGACCCGGCGCCCCAGTCACCCTTGGCTGATGGGCTGAGGTGTCCACCAGAAGACTCTGTTCCGCTAATCCTAAACCTGGCTCCATCACCTAGGCCTCTGGGGTGGGAGGGACCCAGTGATGGGATTAGAGCGTTTCCCTCCCTCACACCCCACTGGGATGGTCTCAGGGACTCTAGGAATTTCTGGGAGCCATGTGGCACTCAGGAGGAACTGGCAGGCCTGGGGTGGGACATGAATGATCTGGGAGAGGGTGGAAGCAGTCAGAGAGGTTGTCTGTCTCGTTTTAGAGAAGGGTCTTGCTCAGTTTCCCCTCATAAGGTGTGCAGTTACAGCTTGGCCAAGCTGGCCATTTGAGCCAAAGTTCCCAGCCGAAGCTGAGCCCCTTAACAGGAAGCTGAGGCCTGCCCAAGCAGGCTAGAGACACAGCCCTTTCCCCACAATGCCACATGCTTCAGTGGCCACACGAGCTAACATTCAGACTAAGCACAGTGTCTCACCTCCCCTGGTGAAGTCTAAGGTTTTTTCTCCTCTATCCCTACACTAAGCCCCCTCCAAGAGGCCTGCTGGCTCAGTTCAAGCCTTAAAAAATATGGGGCAATAAACTTCAGAAGAAGGAAGAGAGAGAGAAAAAAGTAGGTTTGTTAGCTGATGTTTTATAAACACAGTGAAACGGTCCAGCACAGAGCCACGGGAGGAGGGGGCAGGCGGCGGGGGAGGAAGGCCCGAGAAAACCCTGGCATAAACACAGGACTATGCAAGGACGCCTCACCAGAGGAAGAAAAATAATAAAGGGAATCAGTCCCAGATGGCCCTCCTCAGAAAAGAGAGAAGGACTGAAAACATTTCTTTTCAAGCAGATAATGTAAATCAGATTTCTAAACAACATTTTTCCTCCTTGTAAATAACCCTGCATCTCTGGGGCACAGTCCAGTGCCATTCTGTCTGGGGACAGACACCGCCTCCCTGGCCAGACCGAGAGACAGCCCACTGCTTCAACAGGAAGCTCTTGTCTGCCCCTCGTCCTCAGGGCTTGACCTGGACTGACCAAAATGAAAGGGAGAGTACACGAAGACCCCGCGCTCTGGATGAGAAGCCAAGTCCTGTGGTCTCAGGGCTCGAGCTTCTGTCCTCAGCCCACAGAGACCCCATCAGAGCCAAGCACCCGGGGCGCCTCAGGGAGCTGCACTCCTCAGACACTAATCCCTTCCCGTTCCCTACGCTCAGAAGCCGGCCTGTTAACATTCTGTCTCCTACAAGAGAAATGATGCCTTACATGGAGGCTCAGCACTATGCCCCGGCTAGAGGTAGAGGACCAGCCCTGCTCCAGCCCCTCCGTCCACCCACCAGCTCCGAGCCAGAGGTCTATCCATTTCAAAGGGCCTTGGATGCCATAAGAAGGGTGCGGCATGCTTCCACTGTCCCCAGAACAATACTAGTAACACAAGAGCCACATTTATGGAGCATTTACTGCATGTCAGACCCTGAGCTACATGTTTACATGGGTCATTTAATTTGATCCGCACAGTGGCCCTCAGAGGATGGTATTCACATTGAGAGGGTTGAGAGGGAGAGAACTGAGGCTAGTGAGGGGCCAAGCTATGGCTCAGCTGTGTATCTGATTCTAGAATGCACATTTTTTTGAAGTTCTGGGGATTAAGCTCAGAGGCTCCTGAACGCTAGGCAAGCACTCTGACTCTGAATCACATCCCCAGTCCTTTCTGATTTAATTTCATTCTGAGGCAGAGTCTTATTAAGTTACCCAGGGTCACATGTGACCCTCCTGCTTCAGCCTTCTGAGAACCTGGGATGACAGGAATTTGTCCCTGTGCCCGGAGCAGACAGTGTCCTCCTAAGTGTGTCTGTGGGCTTGTGACTGAGGTGCCTTGCCCTGTGCGGAGGCCCAGGAGCTGATGTAGAGGAGCTCGAGGAGACGCCCAGGCTGAGTCCTGGCCCTGCTCTATCACCCCGAACATGGCACAGGCCTTCTCTCGGTCTCAGTTGTTCATTTGTGAAGTACAAATATTCATGTGTCTCACATGGTGAAGCTTTGCATAAAAGAACTTCTGTCATGCTTGCCCCAGATGGTCACTTTCTACCCTTGGCCTGCTTAGCCACGTGATTACTTTATGAAGGAGAAAGGCACATCTCTGAGCACTGATGAGCCACACAGGACACAGACGTGCACACAGGCAGGCACGCACACACATGCACGCAAGCACACACGCGCGCACACACACACACACACACACACAGAGTGCAACAGAGGCAGGCAGGCAGAGCGTGGAGGTCTACAGCAGACCCCAACTTCAGAAACAGAAACAGAAAACGAGCAGCTGCTTTCATGGGGGAGGAGAGTGAAGAACTTGACTCCGGAGCCTGGACAGCTGAGTCAGGCGTGGGTGAATCACTGAGCACCCTGGGGCTCGGTTTCCTCAACTTGGATGTGAAGGTGGACTCATCCCTAGTGGGCTTGGAAGTCAAGTGGTCTGCGGCCTTCAGCACAGAAGTCTGGGACATGACAAATGTACGGCGGCAGGCCCACGCCCTCTGTGGATGGCACCCTGACATCTTATCCTCTTTCTCTGAACTCATTTGTGTGTGTCCATGTGTGCACACGCCTGTACGTGTGTTACTGAGGACTGAACCCAGAGCCTCATGGTGCTGCCCACTGAGCCACACCCCTACCACTTTGCCCTGGGCTAACCCTATCGCTGGGGCTTCCGGTGTGGGGGTGCTACAGGTGGCTGGGGCGTCCTGCTTGCTGGCTGCCCTTCCCGCACGGTGCTCTGGTTCCCTCAGAGCACAGCTGCAGCTGGGGGCCTCACCTTCCTCACAGCTCTCGCCCTTGTAGCCAGGGTTGCAGATGCAGGTGCCCATGATACAGGTGCCATGGTTGCTGCAGGCCACGTCGATGCACTGGTTGGTGGGCACGTCGCACTCCGCACCCTTCCAGCCACTGTGGCATAAGCACCTGCCCTTCAGGTACTGGCCGTTCCCACTGCAGAGCACAGGGCAGGAGGCTGTGGAGAGAGCACAGAGAGGGTGAGCGCCACTCTCCTCCCTTGCCTCCCTGGGCTGCCTGGCTCAGCCCCCAGCCTCAGTGCTTTGCCAGCAGCTCCCGTGCAGGCTGATTTGCTTCTGCTCTGTTCCACTGTAGCCTAAGCATGCTGGGAACTGCAGGTGAGGCCATGCAGAGCAGAGGATGCTGGACACTGCCTGCCCATCCCTTCCACTGCTGACTTATGTGGTATATTCTGTGAACCGGGACTGGAAGCCTGTGCCTGTGTCTGACTCTGCCAGTGGCCAGCCACCTGCTGCCCCAGTCTGTCCTCATACCCTGTCTAATGGTGCTCCATTTCCACCTGGCCAGCCTCATTTGCAACACCCTTGCTGCTGCCTGAACCCAGCAAGCCTCAGCTGCCCTGGTCTTCATGCCTCGACTTCTCCCCAATAGTGTCATCCCCTTAAAAGAGGAGCTGAGCCCAGCTAGGCTACAGTATTCTCTTTCCACTCAGCTCCTTAGCAGAAAGGGTTCTGTAATCAGCCGTAGGCCACTCTATAAAAATAAATTATATTGCATCATGCTGGAAGTACTTGCCAGTCTTACTGAGATACAATAAGGCTGCTTTACCCATGAGTCTTAACTCTAAGTGCACACGGGATGATACAGTAATTCTTGTTAGGAGGGATGACTCATCTCTCCACCCTACCTACCCTGGCCCCCACCTGGCTTCTTCCTTTTTAAGGCACTCAGCAGGTAATCACCATGCTGCTTGCGGCTGCCAGCTCTGCTGCCTCCAGCGGAGTCTACTTACATTAGCTAAAATAAGAATCCCCAGAGCAGCGTCACGGCACAGCCCTTGCGGGAAGCCGCTCCCTCGGCCTCCAAAGCCATCTCTGTCTTCCACTCACAGACAGCTCCGCTGGCCTCAGCACTCAGGTACAGCGCTGCCCGTCTGGGAGCTGTCCTGATCTGATCCACGTGCCCTTCCAGCGCTGCTGTGTGCCTCATGGTGGTGCTACCTACCCACTCGTGCACCCCAGAGCATGCTGTGGACCCCCAGGGCTGGGGCTTGCATGGTGTCACAACCCCAGTCCCAGCACAGGCCTGGGCCTCCAGGGGGCATGAAACCTACAGCTGCCGGTTGAGTAAAATGATGAACCAACTAAAAGAGCCCCTCTTGGTTGCCCAGGGAAGCGCCAGATTCGCAGGACTCGTGGTCTCCTTTGGCAGTGTCCCTGTTCATTCTTCCACACAGAAACAAAGCCACGAGCCAGCGCAGGGTCGCAGGTGGGCAGCCTCATGAGCTTTCTCAGTAGTGGTCATCACAGAGGCCAGAGCATGAGGTAGCACTAGGGCCATGAGGGAGACGCCAGGTCTCTGCCTGGTGTCTGAGCTAAGATGCGTGTGTGTGGTCAGGCTTCCGAGGCCTCTGCTCCACAGGATGGGAAGAAATCACACTTGCATACAGAGAAACTTCAAGGATGTGTGACAAAGGCTAATCAGTGCCCTTCCAGGGAATGGCAGCTTTTTAAAGGACCCTGTGCCATGTCACCTCCTCCAGTAAGGGACACCGCACTAACTCCGGCTGCCCTGAGGAAACCCAGCCCTCCAGAATTCTACTGGCAGACCTTGCGTGGTGGGCTTCTGAGGTGTGACTTCCAGGTACCCTTAGGGGCACAGGGTTGGCCTAGGCTTCTCTGTGCCTGCTCTCAGAAGTGAAGCCTAAGCTGCTGGAAGGGGGCCTGGACGCTTGAGCTTGCTCACCTCTGCCGCAGTCGGGGCCCAGGAAGCCCAGGAAGCAGTGGCAGGTACCCGAGATGCAGTCACCGTTGCCATAGCAATTGCTGGGGCAGTTATCCACCGATTCTGGGGGAACAAAGAGAACAAGAGCTGAAAAGAGCAACTTCTCCATGACCCAGGGAGCTCAGAATCCAGCCCCAGGTGAACCAAGATCCTCAGGTCTGAGGGTCTCCTGTGGAAAAAGGGAACCAATGTTATTCCAGCCCAGTCACAGAAAGAAACTAATGGGGTTAAGATGGTGTTGCATCCACTACACTGAAGCCCGTCTCAACCCGCACTGGGAGACGCGTGGGTGAAATGCTTATGAATCCAATTGGTCTCTACAAATGCACTGCAAGCTGTGCAGCTGAAACACCACTGGGAGAAAGCTGAACCCGAGCAGAGTGGCTATCTTCAGAAAGTGCATTCCGGGGTGATCTTTGCCGTCTTCTCGGGGCTCTGTAGTTGTCTCACAAGGGGCCAACATTCCACCAATTTGTTGTCGCACAAAGCTGCTGGGTATCGGCAGAGCTCGTTTCCTGCCTCTGATCTGCCATCGGTCCATCCAGGCTGCCACACCCCGCACTGCAGGTGCAGCGAAAGCCTGTGCTGGCCTTCCAGCTTTCTCCTGCGCTCTTCTCCCAATTTATCTACCACCCAGAAGCCCGAGTCAAACAGGCCTGATGCTTGTCACCCTCATGTTTAAAGCCCCGCCAGTGGCCCGCCAATCGCCCGATGGAAACTCCAAGCCCCTTCAGAGGCATTCACGTCTCTTCCCTGGTCCCTTTAGAGTCCCAGAACCTGCTGCCATGCTTACTTTTTAAAACTTTTTTATTTTTACAGCAACGCTTCTTTCCCTAACTCCTCCTAATGCCATCTGTAACATCAAGGAGATGCAGCATCAATTTCAGAAATATTAGAATAAAAAATGAGGTAATGTCCTGTAGCTCTAGTAAGTGAACATGCTACCTGGAAAATCTGCTTCTCTGGAACATCTCACTTCTCAATAATGCTGGGTTGGAACGAAAACAAAGACACAACTACACATAGATGTCTTGCCCCACTGTCATCAAATCTGACCAGTATTGTGCATTGCTGGAACTTCTTACAGGCCACAGATTATAACATCATGGAGGCAGGACTTGAACCCAGACCCTTTGATTTCAAACCCAGTCTCTGTTCATGCCACAGGAATTTACTCCAGAGTGAAAGCCAGGGCATGAACAAGGCCGGGCTGTGGGCAGCAAGGCCAGGCCTGAAGGCCGCAAAGGAGCTAATGAAGGGCAAAGAATTCTAGGACCTTTGGGCCAGGAAGGCTGGGAGAGACCCCCAGCCCTTCTTAACAGAGAAGAGACAGAGCTGGAGAGAGCAGGGCGACCCCCACAAGGTTGCAGAGTGAGTCAGGGACTTCGCTCACGGCTTAGCACCAACTTTCAGCTGAGACCACTGAGGCTTCTGGGTTTTTTTTTAATATTAGGTTTATCAGTATAGTTTAGATAAACATAATGACCACATTCATCACAGAGAATTTGTACCAGTACAAGATGCATCTTAGTTCTTCTTTTCCATTTCCTTCCCCTTCCTTTAACCCTTCTTCTCCTCCTTATTCACAAATTTTGATCCCATTTTATCCTTGTAGTCTCATGTTTTTCTTTTCCCCCTTCTCCCTGCCAAGTTCTCCTCTCCTTTTGAACAATGTCTTCCTATTCCACGCTATCTATTATATATTTTGGCTCTTATTTACACTTTTGCTTTTTCACCAGAGAGACAATGCAATATTTACATGTGCATCTAATTTATTTCACTTACGAGTACAGTGTCAAGGTGTATCTACATACCTAGGAATGTTTCGAGTTTATCCTTCTTTATGGCTGAGTAGTACTTCATTGTACTACTTTACTAAGATGAAGTACTACTTTACCATTCATTGGTTGATGGACATTTAGGTTGTTTCCAAGATTTAGCTATTACAGACTGTGCTCTAAACATGAGTTCACATATAACTCACCAAGAGAGTGAAAAGACAACCCACAGAGTGGGAAATAAGTTTAGACAGTAGTTTTTCAGACAAAGGAGTAATGTCTAGAACATATAAAGAACTGATGAGGCAGGGGAATTGCTGCAAGTTTGAGGCCAGGGAGGCTACAAGGTGAGCTCAAGGCCAGCCTCAACTGCCTGGAGAAACCCTGCCTCAAAAAGAAACGAAAAAAAATCAGACCCCCTCCCCAACTTCAAGACCCAATCCAAAAAATGGGCATCTGAGATGAATACGCACTTCTCAGACGAAGAAATACAAATAGTAAGTAAATGTGTGGAAAGCCATTCAGCAACCCTGGAACAAGAGACGCAAATTCCAACGGAGCCGAGGGCTCCATTGAAGGAGATATTTGGCCACAGAAGACCTGCCTTTCTCGTTAAAAAAGGTGCAGGCCGACAGGGAGAACCTGGGCAGCCGCTTGAGGGAGAGGAGCCTCTTTCCTGGAGTAAGAGGTCATTCTCCTAGCGTGTGTTCCGTAACCTAAGGCCACTCCTTCCTCTCCAGAGCCCCACGGTCCTCAGCCGTGGTGGAATGGATGCTGCGGCAGACACGATTCCCTGGGAGGGAGGCTTCCTCCGGAGAAGCCCTCGAGTCTACCGTTACTCGGGAGACCGACTGTGGGAAGAGGGTGTCAAGACTGAAACGCATCGTGGCTCTGAGCAGCCGGAGACTGTAGCGGGCGTCTGCCAGAGGGGCGCCCGCCGGCGCAGCGTAGAGCCTTCCTGGGCGGGCTCGGGAGCTGTTCTGCAGCTCAGCGAAGGAGCCCTGGCATGCGGATCCATCTGTGCTGCTCCTGCCCATGCACGAGGTCGCAACCGGAGCATCCTGCAGCGGCAGCCAGGCTCCTGGAGGCCGACTCACCACCGCAGGACTCCCGCGCTGCTTGGGGCCCGATGCGGAGGCGTCAGCCTGGAAGGTCCACTGCTTCCTGACGCCCTGCTCCGGGGTGACGCACTCGCATGCTGCACAGAGGGCTGCGCGGGCCCACAGTGGCTGGCCACCACGGCTCCAGGCCACCACCAGCCTCACGGCGGGGCCCACGGCACGGGACTGGCCTGGAAGAGTGTACCTTCCTGGGGTGTTTCATTCGGCAGTGGCCTCTTAAATGCTGTTTCTAGGAAAGCCATTCTTTCTGCACGTTTTCTTCTGACTGTTCTTTTAAAGGAATAAGTATTTTGAGTCATTGGAAGGCAAGCTTATTTCCTTTCAAGCTGCAGGCCACTTGTGCTGGGGAAGGGATAGTACCGGCTGCTGCGGGCCAGAGCTCAGGACAGAACGCAGAAGGTCTGGGGGCAGCTTAGCTCTGCTCTGGATAGCTGTGGACCCCTGGCCACACCCCGGGTCTGTCTGTACCTGAGTCCCCAGGAAGCTCTAATGGCGACTCCAATTCCTCTGTCAAGCCCAGTCCCGGTGCCGTCTCCTTAGAGACGGCTTCCTGGAAGTTTTCACAGGCAAAGTTACTCCTGGGACTCTTTCTTTACCCCTATGAAATTGTCATAGAGTTTACTTTGTTGATTGTGAACTTGAGTCCAGAAACCTCCTTCGCTTTTCTTGTGTTTATTTTGGCATCTAATACACAGAAGGGTCTCAGTAAATGGTTTTTTGTTGTCACCAAAAGAATTCAACTGCATGATCTCCCAGGTCCCTCCCAGATCTAAATGTCTGTGGTTCAGTCCCTCTGAAAACCAATGCTTTTTTTTTTAAGTATTTTTTTCATAATTTTTTTTGAGAAATAAATTGCAATGAGACAGTTTCAAACCAAATTGGTAGGACAATTTCAATAACTAACACATTGCATACATTCTTCCTAGTGGTTAATTGCTGTACAAGATGCGGACATGATATCCTATTTACAAACACCATTAGAACAAATCATTCTATTCATTAAGAGAATGTAACTATATATCTATCCTAACCACTTTGAATACACAGATACAAAATGGACATTCATCTGTATCCCCTTTTTTTGTTAAGTTCCGTTATTTTAATATTATCAGCAAAATATTCTAAAAGAGTCCAGTAGTCCATAATAGTACTGGGGCTTCTGCTTGATTGGCAATGTCAGAAATTGTTGACCTGACTCCCCTACAGCTCAACATAACACCATGGCTTTACTTCTTATATTTCGTTTTTATACTTTTCTGCTGGATGGTTAAGACCAAGGTAAAGCAGGACCTATGCAACAAGAGTTGTAGCTTTTGGGTCTGAGAAGGTCAGTGAAATGCCCTCAGGATTTAACCTGAGATCCTGTACCTCAGATTGTAGAACCTTTGTCAGTGCAGCCATGTGGATGAGTCACGGCCATTGCTTGGCCAATGTGCTCTCTGTGAAAGCCTGAGAATGTTTTCTCTCCATGTGACTCTCCTTAGGCACACTCTACATCATCGGTCACTTTCCTCTTTGGCTCCATAATCTTCCTGATCAGAAAATTTGGGACACTACTGAGGTACATGATGTAACAGTACAAGTTCTCATATGTCCTGAGTCTTAATTGACCTTGGAAGGCTAGGGCCAAAATGTTGGCTTTCTGAAAACCAATGTTATAAAATACACCTCCTAATACAATCTCTAAAATTACCAGTTGCTTTTTTAACAGGATCAACTGCTGATAAGTGTCACATACTTTCTGGATTCTGATTTATGAAGCTTGCAATACATAAACCTGTGCATCACCTGCCCCCAAACCTTCACAGTGACAAAATGAGGAAAGCATATTTTCTGTGACTAAGTACAGTGTTGGCTACTCAGTCTGACAGAATGGAAGCCTGCATGCTGCAAAACGCCCGGGGCTCTTGGCGTCAAGGAAGGCAGAGGGTTTAGGAGACATGAAATCATTTAAAAATGGCAACAAGCAGCAGAAGGGAGACACGTGGAGAGTATCTTCTTCTGATGAAATGTTTATATACATAGTTTCTCCTCCAGCACTTAGAGGAATTTCAGCAACTTGGGGTCCAAGGGAGATTCCACATATAATGGGTCTCCACTGACCAGATACCACCTGCTAAACACTAGGGCAGAACTGATGCTCTCTGGCTTGGGAGAAGTGTGA